AAACATTGAGTGATAATAACAAAAACTTTCATTTCCGCTACTATGCCTATTAATAGAATTACTTCTATAGTGGAACCTGAACTACTGATGTCTAGAATAATGTCTTTTATTCAGTTCCTTAACTTGTAGGAATAACTCTGAAATCTGTTCTTGCAGTTTAACTAAAACAATGTCATCTCTAGAGCAAGCTACAGCGGCATTTTGATGTGACATGGATTTTATTTCTCACATTTTCTCATCCATTGTCGCCAATTTAACTAAATTATCGCCAGTCATGGATAAAAGGCTCAAGATTGCCACGGGTAATCTTTGAAGTCAGAGAGTTTTAAAAAAAGCTTCACCTACCTTATTTGAAGCTATGTTCTTCACCTCACATAACTGTAGGAGTTTTCTTGACCCAATTCTACCTCAGTTCCTGCATGCTACCTAAGTTGGAGTTTTGATAAAAAAAAAAAAAAAAAAAAAAAAAAAAAAAAGGTAGGCAGTCTAATTAGGCCTAGAGGAGTACACAAGTAAAATTTTGTGAAGAAAGAAAATGAAGATTTTAATCTAACATCTCTTTCATTTTAAAAGTATAGTAAACAAAAAGGAAATGAAAATTTAGTGATTGGTGCAAAAACAAGACTATATTTAACAAATGCCAAGTTGAATGAAAGTGAAGTAAAATCATTTTTCAATTCTGTGTGAGCTTTTTTTTTTTTTTTTGTAACTGCATGTTCATATATCGGTTTAACATAACCATAACCCTTATCGGTTTAATCATAACCCTTATCGGTTTACACACATAATCATAACCCTTATCGGTTTAATTATGTGGGTGTGCCCAAAGTGGGCACACAGATTGAATAGAGCTTCAAAAATAAATCTGAATAATTAAAAAATATGCCTTGTAAATTATATGCACATTTAATTCCTCAAACATGTATATCACTAAAGCTACTATTATATGAAAAAAGCAAGTATTTTAAATCACTACTAATCAGAAAATATCAGAATCCATAAATCATATATCTTTATTCTGGATTTAATTTCTGCAGGAAAATAAAATTTAAATAACCAAGAATAATACATATTAGTATTAAAAAATACTTATAATTTACGAATGCAAAGATTTATATGTAGCAAGCTTAAGTTCTGATTTTGAGAATGTTTTTTTATAACATAGTTCTTCATTTGCCTGCATACTTATTTTTTTTAATTAAAACTGCTTTGAGAGTTTTAGGACCTAAATTTGGTCGAATTTCCGTCTGTATTTTTTTAAAAATAAAAAAAATTCTTTCACAAGCTGCATTTCAATGAGGTATTATTAAGACAGCAAGCATCACAGGCAATACTTTGTATTTAATACACCCATTCATATTTTTTAATTTGGGAATTTCTTTCTCCCATACTAAATCATATGCTAATTACAATTTCTTTCAAATCATCTACTTGATACATGGAAAATTCAATTTCTACTTTATTAGATATTTTTTCAGCATAGTGGATTGAAAAGTATTCATCAAGTAAAGACCAGATGAAAATGAAATTTCAGTCCTCAAGTTGATGTCAGCAACAGCATGTTTTAGAAATGGATCATTTAGTGGAAATTTATCTATTATATATGAACATGCAGTTACAGAAAAAAAAAAGCTTGCACAGAATTGAAAAACGATTTTACTTCACTTTCATTCAACTTGGCATTTTTTAAATATAGTCTTGTTCTTGCACCAATCACGCTTTTCATTTTCTTTTTGTTACTATACTTTTAATGAAAGAGATGTTAGATAAAAATCTTCATTTTCTTTAGAAATTACTGATGGTTTTACGAATTTAACAAATTCATTAAAAGTAAATTCTCTTCTGAATTTATGTATATAAGCTTGTTGTTGCAAATTATAGCTGTTATAAACAAAGTAAAGTTTTTTCAAAAATAACAAGTACACTTTGGTGGTAGGCGATAGTAACATTTTTTTAACGTTCTGCAATCTCTTTCCTTCATTCTCACTGTTATCTGGTTGATCTCCACAAAAATTTATCACAGCATCCCACTGTTCCAAAATCCTGGTTATAGATTCTAAAAGAGACAACCATCTCATACTGCAATATTTCAAAATTTTATGAGACTTGTGTTCAAAATTTGTTGAGCAACTTTGAAGCCATGCTTCCGTTTCAAACTTTTTTCCAAATTAATATATATATATCTATTAACAACATTTCGATTTCTGAGCCAATTAATTTTTCAGTAGCCTTTTTTGCAGCTATATGCAAGAGGTGGTATGGACAACCTCGGATGATTATACTTGGTTGATGCGTTTTGATAAACGATGCTACACCTTTAAACTTTCTAATCATATTACTAGCATTATCTGAAGAAAATGATGAGCAATTTTTCCATTCTAAATCTTTGCTTTTAATGTTTTCATTTATACAATTAAAAATACCTTCTCCGGTATTATTCATGCACTCTAAAAAAGAAATCAATGACGTAATTAACACTCCCTTTTCTTTACTGTAATACGTTATAATCAATGGATACAGTTTGTTATCATTACTTCCATCAGTACTTAGAGAAAACGATGTATTGCACACTGATTTTATCATACCGGCAACAGTACTTTCTGCAAGCGTTTTCACAATAGCGGCAGTTTTGGTACGACTGCAGCTAAATTTTTTTGCTATGGCAGAATCCGGAAACATTGCTTTGAAATGATCCAAAACAGAAAGCGTAGATTGTGTTCAATTAAAAATCTAACAACAGTCGAACTCCAAGACGAACTACCAGTGTGCAACAGTTTTACTACTATCTCGCTGTACCTGTTTCGTGATCTTTTATTAAGAAATTTTTTATTTCTTTAGACTTTACAGTGCCAAGTTCTATATGTTTTTGAGAAAAAAACATGCTGTTTATAGTCATTTTTTCCGCCATGTGCAACTGAGATGTCTTTGTTGCATACACTGCAGTGTGCATGATTCATAGAAATTACAGATGCTTTAATGCACGGAAATTCTGAAGAATATGAATCTTTAAATTTCTGCTTTGATAATTTTAGCTTTTTCGTCGAGGTAGCATTATTAAAAAAAACTTCCACCTGAATACCAGTTCACAAGACACACGCTAAGCTCTCGCCGTAATCCAAACAATTGAGCCGAAGGCAAGCTAAACACACAGCAGCAACGAACCTGGGAGACCAGATGTTGCAGGGGAACTATTGAAAAGTCATTAACGGTTGGAGTTTACTGATCTACGATTGGCTATTCTTCAAAACCAGCAATGCACTGAACACGTGATATATGATGACACAAGTACGGATGAATTAGTTGGTTCCGTTTTGCATACTGGTTCTCCTACTCTGTTTCTGTAAAATCCGTAGTTTTCCCCATACTTTTTGTAGCTCGTAGTTTATCATGAATTTCTGTAGAAACTGTAGCAGTTGGAGTCTATGTGTACTTATCATCCCTTGAGAATCATCCCTGATCAGAATGTCTGACACTTGTGATAATATTTCAGTGTCAATGGAACTCATGACATAATCATTTCGTTTGATCTGTCATAATTTCAGCATTTCGAAATCGAGCTTCCAACCAGAGAAACCATATGTTTGGGTCCGGTTTCCAAAACGTTGGGACTTAAATGCTAACTCTAGCGATCAATGTCAAAGTGTTGCTTTTGTTTCTGCCTTCATTTTCCACGTTTGGTTCTTGAATAATGCATCTAGTAGTCACTAATGAAGTGGATATTTTATGTTAATATCTCAACCCTAATAAACTTTACCTTTAAATGAATGAAAGTAGATGACAGGATGACTTAAGAACAACACATCATCATTTATTTTTCATTAAATCAAATAAAAAAATCTACCAGTTGTTGCCATCTTAAGAAAATTAAAACATACAGAAATTAAAGGTAAGATGAAGAGGAAACACAGAGGGCGCTACATAGGTAAAAAGAGCATTGTACAGCTCATAAAGATGCAGATTTTGCACCAAGAACTTCTTTGGCCTATTCAGAGAATATATCCTCTTGAGGTACATTTCCTATTGACTCTCCTAAAGTGTGAACCAATAGTGTGGCCAAGTTACCGATAGTACTGTGGAATCCAATAGTTTGACCACATTCTCAGATCAGACTGTCAAACAGGATGATGATACACCTGAGGACAGACTGAAATTTAGTAGGACTGGTAGAAATATTAAGATTCCATAAAAACTGGACTTGTAATTTAAATATGCATTTTAGTGAAATATGTTTTTATTTGTTATTATTTTTCCTTAAACTTAAAAGTATTTCAATGGTTTACTTGTGAATTGAATATACATATATTTTTTAATACTTATGATAACTTAAAAGGGCTCAAAGTGGTAATTCTATGCTTTGATTATAATTTATAATCAAAACATTGGAGGATGTTAAGAATACATTATTATTTTAATGCTTATTTTTCTTGCATTTTATATTTCCTGGTTCATCAGCATTAAATTTTGTAACTATAGATTAGTAATTTGTTCATGGCAATAGAGATACTCATTCAAGGTCTGGAATGATGTTGCAGAAATACTTTTTTTTTTGTAGTGATAATAAAGTTTGTTTTTATTTTAAGCTTGATTTATTCTGTGAATAATAACTGCAGGTATAGTTTTTGTGCAAGTGACTATTTTAAAACTATTATGTGAGTCTTTAATTAAGGACTACTGCATTCTGAAGTGCTACTGATATTTAAGCGCATTAGAAGCTAGAAAAGTCGGTGACCTTTTTTCTTGTATGCTGTTAACAGCTTGCAAATTAGAGTTTAGCCATGCCTGTTAGCATGGCTATTACAGTAAACTAAAGAAAAATAATTATTTGCCACGTTATTTGCTACTCTGCTGTATTAGTGCATGATGAAAAATTTTGAAATCAATAATTATGCACATGACATAATTTAAGAAATTAAAATTACTAATTAATAAAGAATATTATTGCAATATATGTGTTTCAAAATGTAACTACATTTAAAAAATAAAACTACTGTTTGTTGCAGGTAAGTCGCATTTAAGGGTCAAAGAGCCTCACATGTTTCATGAGCTGCAGGTAAATGACCTAAGACTCACATATGGTTTGCAAGCTGCAGTTTAGCCATGCAAGTTATATAATTAAGGAAAGCAATAATTTCTCTTGGAATAAAGTTTATCACATCAGTTTCAAAGACCTTTATACTGGCAAGCACTTTCAAATTTAAATGCATAACATTCAATATTTAAACCATAACTGGCACTTGATAAGTTACAAAACTTAAAAAATTCAAAAGTGACACACAGGAAAAACATACCCATTATCACTATTACTATGGTTTAAGCTTTCCTGTGCAACTGAACAAAAAGCTGTTTCCTCACCATCAGAATGAGCAAAAGTAGGCAATTTTTGACAAGAAGGCCATAAAGTACTACTAGGCAAACATCCTCTGCTTGTGTATATATGATCATTACTTTCTGAAACACAATTGAAATCAATGATAATTTAAGAATAAACCATGCACAGCAATAGATGAAAAAGTTAGGTAAAGACCATATACATTTATAAAAAATTAAATAATTTACACATATAAAACATTTACTGAGAAATGACATAATAAAGGAGTGAGAAAAATTGAAACTATGGATCTAAATTATAAAGCTACATAAATTAAAAAGTTTTTAAACATGCAAGAGTTATATAACCCTTTTACTTTAAAAAGTTCTGTTTTATACTTAAATAATGCTGAAGATCTATGAGAATGAAAATTCTGGATGTCTATCATATGAAAAGATCAAGTCCCTTTCTTCTTCAACTATCAATCCTCAAGTAACAATCACACTGGCCAAGATCGATGCAGTGTAGTTGTGTCTGAGGTGATCTCTTGCTTAGTTTTCCTCCACTTATCACCTGAGAAGTACATTCAGAATCTTCAGCTATGGTTTGAAGTGATGCACAATTTTGCACAAGAGCAAGTGAACTTGGCAACAGAGAAGACATCTTAGGATGGTCCTTAGACACTCCTAAAACAGGCTGAATGACCTCGTAGTCCAGATCATCAAGTCATCAAAATCGAATTCTAAAGTTGTTCATTATGACAGCCTAGCCCCTTACTATAACCACAGTATGTAGTCCCACGGTATATATATAATGTAAATTATAAACTAAGACCGCAGTTCTACTTGTATATAAATTTTTAAATTCATGCATTTAATTACCGATTTAGTATTTGATTTGTTGTACGTTATTTATTATTTTAGTGCTGCATTTGATGTTTAGTTATTATAGATTGTACTGCCCAGGATGTGCAGTCCATGGCATGGGGCAATGTTATAAATTTTGTTATGTAGTTTATAATTTAATAAAATTACATTTATATTGTAGTATTTCTTGTATAATGTAACATAAAAGGCCCCACAGTGTGAAGCATCGCCAGAAAACTAGGGTTACAGGGATTAAGTCATTTAACATTTTTTTTTTTTTTTACAGTTTGTTGGCTAATTTAAGTAATATTTAATTTTACAGTAATTCACTTACTTTTTAATTTATTGATTTTTTTGCGATTTTAAGATCTGAAGTTTTGATTTGTATTGCAACCATTTTACTTTAATTGGTAATGATTAATCTTTATTAACTTTTAAGCAGAAACTTACTATGTTTAATTTCCGTCTGAAAACTAAATTCTTAATTAAAGTTTTGTTTGTTTTTTCTTTTTAATTAATTGTTGTTTGCTTGGTTTGGCAAAAGGGGTTATTACCCTTAATGTTTACTAATCTTAAATTTTGATTTTATGTTACACTTAATGGTGCTTAAATTTAATTTTTTTTGCTAATTTTAATTTCTTTCAATTTTCTCTCTCCTTCCAGTAAAATTAATGAATTTTTAGTTTCTGACTCAGCCTGTATTTTTAACAGCTTATAATTTGGTAAACATGTTATGTAATGGTTAAGAATTTGGTACTTAAGAAATGTTTAAAACTATTTTTTGTATCTAAAGCTGTAAGCTGTGTCTCAATTCCAGAATTTATCTGGAATGCTTGTATAACCCTTTTGGAAAGGAGGTCTTCTCTTCAGGGTGTGTTTTGCAAAAAGTATAGGAAAACATCTTATCTAGCAGAAACTGGACCTGGCTGAAAGGCTAGCAATTTATATGCTTTTACCCTGCAACATATAGATGGTTAGGGGCAAAAATTAGGGATTCCAGCTGCAGTCCCTCATAAGACGGGGCTGGTGACAAGGCTGAAGAGTGCAATGTGTTGTTTTCGAAAAGCATGGAAAATTGAAGGCCTACATCACGGGTGGAGCTGGTTGGGTTGTTGACCTTGTCTGGAGACCTTGAAGTGTGGAGGAGGAGGAAGAAGCAACTTCTTCCAATGCTGGCAGACCCCTTGTTGATGCATTCCAAGAAACACCATTGTTGTCTGCTGGAGGTTCGCAACCCTTTTGGGTTTGCTTGTTTGGAAGGTGGTGGTTTCCTCATTGGAGAACTCTTGCTAAGTGGAAGAAAAACAATGTCACCTAGAGTCAAAGCTGAGAAGAGACAAGGTGAACAGTGAAGAAAGGCAGGGAGAGAAGATGGAAGCAGCCATTACAAAAGCTCTGGAAAGAAGGACAAACCACTTTTAACTGAAATTAACCTCCTTCCTTTATTTTTAGATTTGGTCACTTGAATTATTTCTTAAGTCTCAATGTTACTACTGGGAAAAAATCTTCACCTCCAAACTAGTAAAAATTAAATTAATGTCAAATGGTAAATCTAGCTCTTAAGTAATTGGTTGTAAAAGAGTAGATAGTTAAATTGCAGTGTTAGCCAGTTAAGGGGGATATATTTTTATAACACAAACTTATACTTGAAATTGGCAACTGGTAAAAATTCTGATGTTGCTTGTGATGGCTATCATTTTTTAAATGCCTATAATAAATTTTTGATTGGTGTAATAATATGTCTCATAAAATATTGATTTGGTGCAAGTCCTGTCCTTTCATGTGACATCTGGTTTTAAATTTTTTTACAGCTTAGTATCACAAATGGATATGGTATTATTATTTTCCCTAGTTTTAACTGGTTTTTATAGTTTCACCTGCTGGTTAAACTAATTAATTATTTTTCAGAGGCATGTAAAAATACTATTTGGTAAAAGCAGTATAATTGGGAGCTGGCCAACTTCCAAATTATATTACATACAAGGTATGTCATACTGTTTTTACTGCGAATTTTTATATAACCAGATATCTGTAAATCTATTTAGAATACATTAAAATAAACAATGGTGCTTTATTTATTGTCCATTTATTAGTTTAGTTTACACAAACCATTTATTTACACTGGACTATTTACTAGGTTATAATCTTTAATTTATTTATGCAATGCAATATTGTTCTTTACATGTTATAATATTCTGACACTTTTCACTCCAGGGTTTGTAGCCACATTTTAGTTAAAAAAATAAGTACCTATAAGCACTTTTCAAGCACATTTTAAGAAAAAAATAATAACCTGTCTAATTACATTATACACAACTGCATAACCTTAAAAGAAAAATTAGACTTGTAATTTAAAATATGAGATATGCAGTATTTATTAAAAGAGAATGAGCATTACCTCAACCATGGAAAACAATTACTTTAAAAAAAAATTAAATAACAGTTCAATTTATAGAACTAATTTACAATGAGAGGGTAAAAAAAACTATGAAGAACTAAAATATATTACAAGATTTAATGATGAAATTTTAGTTCAAAATAGAGAAAATAAATAATAATAAGGCATATTTATCATATTTGCTTGGCATATAATAAATACAATTTATTTTCCCACTCATTAATATTTAAATAATTTACCTTAAATCAAAATTCTGAACATTCTCTAAACTTTCATTGTATAACACTTTTCCCTTAACAGATATTGTAAGCAAAGTAATTTAAGTAAAAAAGAGGAACATTTCTGAAATCAGAAGACGGGAAATTGCTTCATGACAAACCTGCATACTGCATACTCAGAAACTGCCGAATATTCGGATAGTCGAGCTTAACTGGAAAAAGAGGAGCGGGGCGGGGATAGACTGTAGCCGTTCTTTAGATTTTCCGGCTAAATAAATGCTTTTGACATTTCGATACGTGCCTCATATAAAAATAGACCAACCGAACAGAAAAATATTCTGCTTAGCAAGCACAGTAAAACTATTTTAAGTGTTCATAAACAAATCTCAGACTGAACTTCAAAATTGATTAATTATCTCTGCAAAATATCGCAAATGTTATTGCGCAATACACGCGGCGAAATTCTTCCGTACATGATATTACGCAAAATCAACAGCTGCGGTATTCGAAGATAAGAACTAAATAAAGGAAAGAAAGAGACTTACCATCTGGGGTATTTTCATTCTAATTTTGAACAGACTGCGTTAATTTCCGGAAAGAATCATTCTGCGCTTGGGTTGGTAAACCGCAGAACTTTTAGTCCATTCAATCCAGATTGGAAAGTGGACCCAAAAAAAAAAAAAAAAAAAAAAAAGTCGTTGCTTGTTTGCAGCGACTGTACGGTTTCATTTCAGATTTGCGGAAAAGGGGAGAACCTCCCACCTCCGTACTGTACAATGTATTCGAAAAAAAAAAAAAAAAAAAAAAAAAAATGAAATTATTTTGACTATTCGATTACTTTCCCTTTATTTAAACCATTCTGAATATTATTCCTTAGAAAGCTGATCTGTGTTAAAACCAGGGCTGTGGAGTCGGTACGGAAAATGACCAACTCCGATTCCTGGAATTTTAATGACTCCGACTCCTTCACATATATGTAAACATATAAACATGGGTAAAGCTTAATTTTTTTAATATAAAAGAAGTAGTAGATGCTACAGATAAAAATTGATGCATAGCAATTTTTTTATATTAATTTGCATTTATTATGAAATGGAAAAACTGGCATTAGTAATTTCTAAGAAACAGTAAAATTTCGGCAAGATCTTCTTGGTTAAAAGACCATTGATCCGATTTGATAACTTCAGATTGAGAAGAGTCTTTCCACACTGACTTGAGTAGGAAGAAGAGCTGTTACTGTTACGACTACTTCCTTTAACTTTTCAGGATAGATTTTTTGCAAGTTCTATAATAAGAGGTGTCTTGCAAGAGCAATCATATTTATCTATTTCTTTAAAGGCCGTGCATAAATCTAGTTTGCATATTTTCATTTTTATATCTAAAGGCTCTTGGTTTTTTTATTTTCATTCGCTTTGCCTTAGCCTTTTCAATATTATCCAAACATTTCTCAAAATCTAATTCATCAGTGAAGAAGATGATAGAGACTCAGTTGCAACATCTGCAGTTTGACTGTCCTTATTTGAATACTCCAGTTGTTCTGAGAATAATTTCATTCTTAATGAAAGTTGATAGACGACTTTCTTTGCCATTTTAATTTATTTGTCATCCAACAAAATTCATTGGTTTGGATCTATATATATTGAACCCAGCACGATCTTACTGTCTAGCGAACTAGTTTCTCTTTTCTTCATTGAAGAAATTATTCCTTCTGCAATAAGCCCTCCATTTCAGAAAGAACAAACATCCCATTCTTCCAGTCTTGTCTCTTGTTAATTCTTCAGATTGTAGCTTTTTAGTGGCTATATACGATATAGAAAGAAGAGTTTTCAATTCTGCAAGATCATTCCACAGTCTTTCCGTTAGTGAAACATTAGGGTTATCTACATCTTCTAACATTCTCGTCTCCTGTTAATTCTTCAGATTGTAGCTTTTTGTGCTATATATGGTGTTGAAAGAGGATTTCCAGTTTCGCAGATCATTCCACAGCCTTTCTTAGTGAAATTAGGGTTATTTACATCTTCTGAAAGTTCTTAGTCCTAACAACACTTTAATCATCAAATAGTACTTCTCCATTGCGTTGCTCCTTTTCCTGCTCACTTCCTAAGAACGGCATCAATTTTGGGAGTTCTTGCTGCTTACCTCAATTCACCACTGAGATTAGTTACTAAATGAATGTTTAATCAATAATGGCAAATATCACATCCATCCTGCTCCCTTATATTTATTTACTAATATGTGAATAAAATAGAAAATAAATATTTATTAATATATATAGTTCATAAATAAAAATATTAACTCAGTTTGTCATTATTTTTTTTCAATTGACTTTAATTTCATTTCAAATTCAAACTGTTCAACAAAAACTGGAGTCGGAGTCAATGTGTTTTTTAATGACTCCAACTCAGACTCCTTTTACCCAAAAATCTACCCGACTCCACAGCCCTGGTTAAAACACACCCATTTTTGGAAGTTTATCTATACTTCAGCAGTTACTGCAACTATATTATTACAGTCAAAAGTCTTTAATCCGGACGCGTCAGACCTTCAGCGATTCCGGATTATTGATTTTTCCGGATTGTAGATCATCAGTTTAAATCTGGTAAGATGGCATGCAGAAATTATACAATTAAAAATATGAAATCGTAATTTATGAAATAAAGAGCAATTGTGATCTAAAGGGTATCAAAATTAAAAAAAAAAAAAAAAAGCTTAATATTTATTTGTTTACTTTATTAAACATTTCTTTCAACGCGCGCATGCATAAAGCATACATTACACATAGTCGAAATTAGAAAATTGCAACCAGAAAACTATTTTATGCCTATTCGTGATATTTATAATGACGAGGAAATTGTTTTAAATCAAATCGGAGTACGTCGAGATGAAACACTACATTTAGTAAGGAATTATAAGCCGAATAAAATAAAAACATCTGCCCTGAAGATGAGGATAGTGCTGACAGATCAACTTCCAGTTCATTTCATCAAACAGATTTTGGAATGATTAGAGAAACAAATCACCTCTCTGTTACTTTCTTCATGCCTTTATCCATTTTTTGCAGCAATTCCACTTTTTGTTTAATGGCCATCGACACATCTTTCGCTTTTGTAGATCCTTTGGCAGCTGAGATCGGAAATTTATTTGAATAATCGAAAGTTCAAGCTTACTTTTTATAAAATTGCTCTAACAGTCTGCAAAAAATAATAAGCCGGGTCCAATTCGAAGATTAAGAAACAACGCAATCTGCAACATTAACTGAAATAGATAATTAGATAATTTTAGCTTAGCTTATACCATCAGTTATACATTAAACGCGCATGCGTAAACGTATTATGCGCATGTGTAAAGGTATTATGCGCATGCGTAAACGCATTATGCTTTTACGCATGCGCAGAAAGTTTGTAGCTTTGAGGTCCGGATTATAGATCATTCCGGATTATGGACGTCCGGATTAAAGACTTTTGACTGTATAAATATTCATACATAAGCTCATAACATAAGCATTATGATCATAATAAATGTGAATATGAACTGACAGTACTACTGTCATTCCATCGCACCAGGAAAATCTCGGAGTTCTTATCAAATGCAAAATTAGACATGCCTCTTTTTTTCTTCTGCAGAGACTTAAGATTCTTTGAACGGACACTTGTGATTTATCTGACTTTCTCATATGGTTCCTGTGGCTCAAAAGCCCTGTTTACCAAGTTTGAATGATAACCAGTTCTACAAAAACATGTATTTCATTAGCAGTGGTAAACAAATTGTTTCTACTTTTTACATCTGATGCATATTGCACAGTCTCTTTTACTATGAGACCGTAAACTTCATTGGAATAAAACTGCTCAAAAAGCTCTGACGGAGTTTTATCTTTCAATACAGTCTCCATCTCCTTCAGCAAGTCACTTGCAGTTGATTCAGCCTGTATCGAGTATGTAAGAAATTTTATGTGGAAATATAGTTTAATCGCCAAAGAGAGCGTAAATCTTTCATGATGTATAATTCTTGTTCTTGGATCTGGCCCCGCCAGTTAAATGTGTGTTAGATGTGAATAAACTTGGCAGTTTAGAAACCTGATTCGTAGTGTTCATGTATCTTGATGTTATGTGTGATTTGAATTTGTTTTTTTTGAAAAACTTCTTGCAATTTGGCAGTTAAAAATATATTTTATATTTTTGGCACCCACGTGGGCAAGAAAATTTTTTTTTTTAATTTAGAAGCGGTGTTTTTTTGTGGTTATGAAATTATCCTTTGCACTGAACGGCAGGATTACCGTTCCACACTTGTGAAATGTTTTCACCAGAAAGTTAGTGACTAAATTAGGAATTAACCATTTGAAGCCTGCACCAGGTAGAGATAAAATTACTTTTGTTGTTATTATGGCAGACGATATTATTAAATTGAAATCTGCTAGAAAAGTCCTGAGACAAGCTATTTCTAGAATATTAAATGTTGTAGAACCTAAATTAAAAAGACATTTGGGATAAAAAGAGAAGACAATGTGTTTTATACTTACTTCTAACAGTTGCGTTGAAAGAATTAATGAAAAATATTGGATTGTTTTAAATGGGATGAGTCTGAAATTGAGAAAGAATTTAATACTGTTTTGGAGTATAATGAAAATAAAGTTTATGTTTTAGGGCTAAAAAGAAACTTATTTAAATTCTCAGATGTGAGCATTGAAAGTGAATCGCCTGGCAACCATACTGCTGCTGTAAAGGTCAAAAACAAAACTTACATTCGATTACTTAAAATTTCAATTCCTAAATATTATGGTGATCCTAGTTTTATTTTTGAAATTTTATAATTCCTTTGTAAATGCTATTGGTAATAATAATGAGTTAACAAAGGTCGAGAAGTTTACCTACCTTAAATCCTTACTTGCAGGACCTGCTTTAAGTGCAGTATCCGGGGTTTTTTGCACTATCTAATGAAAATTACGACGCTTCTATAAGTTTAATTAAAAAGAAAGATTTGGACGAAACAGATTTGGTAATATCTTCGCACATGAATAAACTCTTGAATCTTGAACCGGTTAGAAGTTCGTCCAATGTAAAAGCACTAAGAACACTATACGATTTCTGTGAAATCAATATAAGAAGCTTAAATTCATTGGGTATTGTGTCGGAAGCTTACGGAACCCTTTTAGGACCTGTTATTTTAAAGCTTTTACCAGACGATATGAATCTGGAGTTTAACAGAAAAAGAAACTCTAAACTGCAATATAGCCTAACAGAACTTCTTGAATTCATTAGATTGGAAGTTGAGAGTCGGGAAGCTTCTAATTTAATAATAAACTCAAA